CTGCTGGTTCACTCCAGCAGTCCCCCTTAGTAGATAGAATATGGCGTATATGGGGGTCTTAATGTAATATACCCAAAGCCATATTCTATCTACTTAAGGGAGACTATAGGTTGCTCCTGCTGCACCTGTTGTTCCTTCTACTGCTCCTAGTACTACTGCTCTATGACCGACGGCTGCGACCAGCTTTTGTCCCACTACTGCGCCTCTGAAATACACACCGCAGTAGGAGACGGATCCTGACCGCGCAACGTACACCCCGTACATAACCCCGGTGCATACATAGTCAGAAGTACATATACACACACATCCATAAGCATCCCTATGCTTACTCTCCCCGGCTCCCCCCTGAAGCACCACCAGTCATAAGAAGATCCAGTCAAGGATCCGCTTGATGCTTGGGATTTGCGTCGGGGCGGCGGCTGCTCCAGCCTCAGACAGACAGCTGCAGTTGAAAGTTCACGGGCAGTTATAGCCCGGTGAACGTGCTAAGTTCTCAATTAACTGTCAGTGCTCACATTATACCCTCCGAGCTGTGAGTCTTCAAGAGGCCTTACGGTTGGTTATTTAGAATTCTTCCAAGAAGTACCTCGCTTTTGGACACGAGTGAGATGCCGTTCCCCTATCCGACTATATGGGGGGTTTCCTAAAATTAGGGGTACCATTTTGGGGGTCCTAATAATAAGGATTATAGTATTTTGGGGTCTATATTGGGGTCCCCTTATTTGGGGAAACTATCATATTCCCCCAATGTATAGACAATGAGATATTGGAAAAGGTTACTAAGGTTGGTGAAGGGGCTGGCAAGAACTTACCCTAAACCCCAAAAGCACATGACGCGCCCAGATTGGCACGCTTTCCTTCCTGCTGAACACCTTGTGGTATGCTTATCACGGTGAAGACCAGGACAACCTGTACATGGCCCTGCCCTTACAATGCCTTGTCGGCTCTCCAGCTTTCCCAAAGGATCCAAGGACCCAAATATTAGGGTTTGAGGGCCCAAATATTTTAATATTAATGGTATTTGGGCCCTAAAACCCTATTATTTGGGTCCTTGGATCCTTAGGATTTTGAAGTTTACCTAGAAATTTGGCTTGTTTAATTGGTGGCCTTCACAAGAATGATGTGAATAGCACTCGGGTTGATATTTCCAGTATCCTGCCGGCATTTTCTGGTTACTCATACTCTCAATGGTCTATTACCATGGTGAAAAGCGGAAATCTTGTAATACAGATAGTGACTTCTCTAGATAGGGGGACCCTTATATCAACCCAAAATATTACAATCCTTACCGCGGCTACTATGGGGACCCCCAAAAGGCACCCACAAGTTTTGGGAAATACCCAAATCTAAACCCAAAGTCAGTCTTGAAACCCTTGACCCTAGACCCTAAACCCTAAACCCTCATACCCTACACTCTAAACCCTAAACCCTATTATTACTACTTATACAGATCTGTTGTAAGGCAGCGAAGCTTCTGAAAGCTGGCTCAAAGTACACCCTTCTCGCCATCCTCCTACTCCTGGCTCGGGGACGCCGCTGGCCCGCAGCGAAAGTGGAAAGTGCGCCATAGGGATCACCTGAGTTAAGGGTTTACCTGGACCCCAAAAGTATGTAAAATAATGGCCCTTATGGCTGTTATTATGGGTTTAGGGCCATTATTTTACCTATTTTTGGGGTTTAGGTAGGGTTTAGGGGTTTAGGGTTTAGGGGTTTCTGGGATATATGTACATTCAGTTATATATATATATGTATATTATGAAAGGCATTTTTTCTATACATATAGACGTTCTATATGTTCGGCTTTTGCAAGAGAACCCCGGGGCCCCGGGGCCTACGTAATCATTGACAGGGAGGCCCGCAGGCAACATATCCCGTCGTCTGAAGAAGCTGCAGTGGCTCAGGGGTGCAGCCCTTGGCTGCCAATTTTGAGGAGTGGAAGAGCTTGCAGCAAAAAAAGAGTAGAAGGGGATTTGGGGGTGTGGAATAGTTTATAACTTCTCGACGTGGAATATAGAAGGGAGTGCTGGTACCCCCCACCCTGTAATAGTGGTATAATAAGAGTATAAGAGGACCCTAATATGATCCCTATTATCCCTTAGAGTCACTATTACTAGCTACCCTAAACCCTAAACCCATAGCAAAAGTCTGAGGCTGCATCTCGGTCCCCTTGCATGGCAGAGATCTGCTACAAGAAGCTCGTGGCGTGCCCAGTTGATTAGTATTTTATTTGGGGATATTATGGTACCCAATATAGAGTAAGATTATATCCTCCTTTTGGGGTATACTATTTCATATAAGGAATATAATCTTACTAGGTTCAACCACCGAAAAAAACGCTTCTCAGTTGGCTGCAAACCTCGCTCTCCCTTCAACTTACATGGAACCCCCAGCTTGCTACCTTTTGAAGAACTGTAGTCTTAGGGGGCAGACTCCTTTGGGGGTTCCATGTGAGTTTTGGGGAGGGTGGGTGCTTGAATCGAAGCTTCTTCACGCTCTTTTTAAGTGTAAGTGTAAGTTACAACCTCTATATACCCCCAATACTATAGTAGTTTCCATTTTCTTTTCCATTATTCCCTATGTAACCCCAATATCACCCTAAAATTACCCCTTGGACAGGAGTCTTAGTGCCACTCTACATTGCCAGCGTGACGCTGGAGGCCAGGATGGCGCAAAAAACCATCAAAAACCCTTCCGGACCACGAGCACTCCATGATCTATATAGTCCCCCTTAAGTAGATAGACTATGGGCTATATTTTTGGGGTTATATAGGGTATAATGGAAAACAAAATGGAAGCTACTATAGTATAATGTAGGGTATATATTGGGGTTATAGTCCCCCTTAAGTAGATAGAATATGGCTTTGGGTATATTATAATAAGATCTCATGTACCCCATATTCTATCTACCTAAGGGTGACTATCGTTGACAAGTATTCATTGTGGGAGTTGGGATGCAAGTTGGGAGAGGTCATGTTTGGGCGGATGTGATTACGGCCTATGTGGACAAGTCTGGTGTTCATATGTACTATAGTCTAAACTCCTCAAGGGGGGTTTATATAGGGGACTACTATAGGGGTCATTAAGGGGGATACTAGGAGTTTAGACAGTAGCTCATATGTATTCACTTGTCAAGGCGGTTGTAACCTTGAAGGTGTGGGGCGAGTTTGCCCAGTCTCGGACATACACAACAGCATCTTGGCGCCAAGGGGTTTCTGTGCTTCAGCTTCTAGGAAGGAGACCTTAAGCGATGCCAGGGATGAATGGCAATCACTGCAAAACTCCCATGTGAGCCCAAGCACTTTGACACTCTGCCATGTGCTGCTTTGTTGCGACTGAAGGACTCAGTGTACAGGACAGTCATCGGCGACATCATCATTTGCATCGCCCCTTGCCTGAGTTCTTTGTGAGCGCAGTTGCCACGTTCTGCGCAAGCCACGACCCAGTTTGAGCCTAATCCCGAAAACCTATGCCACAAGAAGTGTCATCTTAAGGACATCGCTTTGCTGGTTCTCTACCTACGAAATCTTTGCCGTTCTTGGAGTGCGGAGCTCCATGCTGGCAGCTGGCCATTTTTCCCATGTTTTTTGGTTGTTCTACGGGTACCTGAGAAGGTGGAACTTACCTGCAGTTGTGCCTTTGTCCAGGGAAAGGGTCTGCGACTTGCGTGAATCGTGAGCACCTAAATGCCCCCATGAAACAAGCCCTAGACCCTTAAAACAAAATTTCTATGCCGAGACCTGCAGCGCGGTGCGTGTGTTGAAGCCCTGAACCCCAAAGTCCCAAAGCGTTAGCAGTTTCCATGTTTTTTCCATTATCCTTATACAACCCCTACAGAGCCCCAAAACAAGCCCTATATATACCTAATATTACCCTTCATATTTGACGCCCCAAAGTCCCAAAGCGTGTGGGAGAGTCCAGGACAGACACACCAAAGCGCAACTTCTACAGAACATGGGGCTTGATCTATGCCGGCGCCTTCTTGCTATTACCAGAGCCTTGCCTAAAGCGTGGTTTTTGAGGGGGAGGTTGGGGGTGAGTAATCTGCCAAGAGAGAATTTGGAGGGTTCTGTTGGATGGATATCCCAGTCAGTACTTTGAGGTATGCTGTTTGGTCCACCGCATTTCTGGCACCGGCTATGTGAGCCTGCAATGTATCTTCAAGCTCAACGACAGGCCCTGCAGGCTCCCCAAAAACAACAACCCAAGATCCTCCCAAACCCAGACCTTCTAAACCTTAAGCTCCCACACTATACCATAACATACTAGAATATA